ATGGTGGGGTGGCTGAGGGGGTCCAAACTGAACAGTCAGGCTCCCCTGGGTCCCACCACTCTGAGACCCTCTGGAAGATGGCCTCTGGAGCACCCCTGGGGCTTAGATGGGGTGAAGGAAATCACCCCATGTCTCCAAGCTGCTTCCGTCCCCATCAAGGCCACTGGCACTGATGGACCAACCTTTCGTGGTTTCTGTGCTTCTCGTCGTTCTCTGCTGGCTCTGCGCGCCCTGTGGAAGAGGACGGGGAGGGGGGACCTGAAGCAGCACATCGCTTTCATGGTTACCCAGGCTTGTCCCCTGCCCTGTCCCTCCAAACCTGCCCATCCCCAGCTCAGCCCTTCTCCTTGGAGCAAGCAGGGTGTGAGATCAGGCTGCTGGTTGGGGATGAAAGGACCCTGCGGACGTGACTGCTCCCTTCCCGGCCCCAACCTCCCTCTTTTCTTGGGAGGTGAGGAGAGACAGGGGCCAAGCCAACTCTTTTCTGGAGTTACCAGCCAGAAAGGCGACCATCACGCCAAAAGAATGGGGTTGTGGTGGGGAACAGAGCCATTTTTCCACCCCTTACCCTGGGAGAGGCTGCTGAGAGCAGGGCGGCTGCCACAGGTAGGATTGGGGGTGGGGTGGGGGGGGGAGCTGTTTTTTATGAGCTGCTTCCCAACCAGGAATCGCTTTCTGAGAGATTCCTGCATTTAACTTGCACCCTGCCGGCAGTTTCCTGAACATCTGCAGAGGTTTCAAGGAGGGCTGGCAGCCATGGGAGTGTGTCATCTCCCCTGCCCACTGCACACACAGTGTGGGTGCTGCTCAGGGGGTGAGGGGTCTGGACAGGTCTGGCTGTATGTTCAAAGGTGCAGAAAGGGATCCTGACTGCTGGACAGGTAGCAAAGCCCATAGTCCCCCGCACCCCCCCATCATCAGGCTTTTAAAGCAAAGCTGAAGAAAGCTGGGGGGCCAGAGACCCTGCTGGGTTCCCCAGGGCAGAGCAGCCCAAGGTACAGTGAAGCCCTCTGCAAGTTTTCACTTATTTCTCAATTTCCAGCCATTCCAATTCCCCTCCTGGGGCTGGGGAGCAGGAGACAGGTGATGGGAGAGTGGAGATGCGCTCGTGCGCATCAGTCTCTGCAGTGGCTGTGCTTGGTCTCTTCAAGCCCTTTCGGAGGGATGCAGGGGGGGAACAGCTCCTTCCCCAGCTCAAACAAGCAGCAAAAGGTTGTGTTTGCAGAAAGGGGCCTCATACTGAGGGAAGGAGGGAAAAGAGGGAGCGTAACCAGCCCAGGTGCGTTTCCTTGCAAATGCTGTAACTCCAGCTTCTTACCTCTAAAAACGTCACAAGATAATTCATGGCATGCCAGCTCCACATTTTCCACCTCCAGTTGAAGCAGTCGAAGCGCCTGGTCCTTGGGGCACTGTTACTGCACAGTGCAACAGTGGCAGCGTGGGGACACAGCTGTGCACGAGGGGGACACACATTTTTCCTTGTTCAGACTTGCAGAGGTGAGCGTGTGAGAGGTAATCATTAACACAGCCAACTGCTGTCGCCCCAGCTCTGCTTAGCTGGGGTTGGGTTTGCACAGCCCACCCCAGCCTGCATGCCCCCCACCCCCTCCACCGCATACAGCCCCCCAGTGTGTTTCCATCCCATGGGAAGCCAGACAGACCTCCGGACAAAGGGAGAAATGAGGGATGCTGAGACCCTTCGGAGAGAAGGGCAGAGCTCTCCCCACGAAAGTTGACTGCCCCTTTCCTAACACCCCTCATCACAGCGATTGCATTTGGGAACGCTTTTCTTCCCCACCATAAATCTGACACCAGGGCAGCTGCAAAACTCTCATTGCTGTGGTTACTGACGGTTCTCTCCTCCGAGACATGGGCCAAGTGCCAATGTGCTGGGGTCTGGGCACTGAAATGGAGCAGACCCCCTTCCTCCCAGTCACACGTCTGCCTGGTCCCTGAGCCACAGCCCAGGGAGGCTGGGACAATTCAGTGTGCCTTACACCCGCTACAGACCCCCACTGTTAGCTCTGGGCAGGAGCTGAAAGGCTTGAAGGCGATGAAAGGGAGGCGCAGGGGGTAGAAGGGACAAGGCAGCCGGGGAAGGAGGCTGCTTCTCCAGGCAGCGGCAGGAGCGACAGGCAGGCTGCCAAGCTGCCCTCAGGAATCCAAGTTTAAGGTATGAGTATAGCTCCCCATTACCCACTGTGTCCATCCCCAGCTCCCTCACCAGCATGCTGTCGGCTGGAGCAATTACCTCCCTTTTGCAAAGGAAACTCTGCAGGAGAGACAGCGTTGGCCACAGTCATCCTTACAAGTCCGGGCGTGGAAGCAGAAGCATCCCTAATCCCCGCTTTTGTAAGTGGAGAGTGGTCCTCCCACCAGAGACAATCCCAGCCTTCGAGGCTGCAGCCCCAGTGCTCAGCACTGGAAATGGGACCCCAGTGCTCCCCTCAGGAGCTGGGAAGGAACGGGAAGAGCCCTTGAGCAGGCTCATCCACCACAGAAGGTCCCTCACAACAAAGTCACTGTATCCAGCAGCTGTCCCCAAGGGATGCTGTTCAGGGGAGTGGGCAAGGACCTGGCCCTGCAGGGAACTCCCCAGAGTAGCCCCAGTTAGGACAGGGGCAGAAGCCTCGGGGTACAACCTCGAGGGGTATCACTCATGCAGCACCCGCTGCATTCTCATGAATGCAGCTAGAGACAGGAACTAAAACATCCATCTCTTTATTTCAATGGCAAGAAACAACAACATCCAAACGGTCCAAGTCAAAAAAGCAATGGGAACGCAGGCTCGCACCAGACCCTCGGCCTGCTGGAGCCAGCACCCTCACAGAGTTACAAAAATACAGTCCTACAACAGCGTTTAGGAAACACAGACTCAGGTATTGCACAGAACCCCTGCCCTCCATGGGCAGGGCGACCAACACCCCCTCCGCTTTCGCCAAAATACAAGACAGGCTTGGAATTGCACAGCAACTCAGCTCGCGTGCGCAGAGGGGCCAGGCGGGGAGGGGGACAGTGTGTCTCTCAACTACCTGTACAAAAACTATAAGGGAAAATACAAAACCAGGGAGAAAGGGGGAAGCTGGGGCTGTAAATGCCCATAGGCTGGGCTGAGCATCCCAGCTGGGGGACAGCAGTTTGCACCTTTGAGATGACAGTGCCTTGTCTGTTGGTGGCCAGCAAGCCATGCTGATGGCAACTCTGGGTGCTGCTGGAGCACCCCGGCTCTGAACATCTCAGGATGCTATTAATGGCCAATACTGCCGCTGGCCCCTAGCACTCTGCACTGCCCTGCGCCTCTGCTCCCCACCACAGCAACCCCTGTCCTCCAAGGGAAGTCTGCCCCCCAGCCAAAAAGCCTGAAGGGTATTCTGGTTCTCTGTGGTATCCTCACAACCTTTTTTTGGTATTAAAAGAGATTCAAATGGTGCCACCCAGCACTACCCAGTGGGCACAGTTGGGTATGAGTGCACGTGGGACCGCTCAGACTGACAGGGTAGCAGCATCCTCTCCTGGGACCTCATCTGTGAGCAGCCACCACGCACCTGAAGGTGCCAAGCAGGTCTGCAAGGTCCAGAGCCACCAGCTCTCCTCCTCTGCTGGCATCTCCTGGTCCCAGAGACTGTCAGTGCTGCAAAAGCCTTGCTGCAGCACTGGATTGATCCCTCTGCAGATGCTCAGCACCCACAGCATCTGCAGGGGAGATGGGTGCTGGTGCCTCGTGTCCTATGGCCAGGCAGTAAGTGAAATGCCATCCCCGTGCAGGTGTGACTTGGGGCTGGGAGCCCTGATGCTTCCTATGCATCCAAATCCCTCTTTCTGTTAACACTGGAGAGGGTGAGCTGCTGGCCTGCCCAAGGAGCTTGGGTCTGGGCTGGGCGAGCTCCCAAGTTTTCCCTGCAAAGCCCTGCGCCCAGTTTGGGGGGTGGCAGGGGTCGGACTGAGAGGATGTGTGTTGACATTTGGGGGGCATGGGGGAAATCCCTGAGAGCAGCACTGACCCCAGCACTGCCCCTCCAGCCCAGTGCAAGGTCTAGCATCTGGGAGGGAGCTGAAGCAGGGAGGGCAGCCAAATCCAAGTCAGCATTTGGGAAATGTAACAGGCTTCACTGCAGCCCCTGCCCAGGCCAAGTGCAGCTCTCCACCATGGCTACATGCTGCAACAGGCTCACGAAGAGATGCCCAGCAGACACCGGGTGTGCAGGGCAGAGCAAAGGACGGTGGGAGGGCTTGGTAGCCTTCCTCCCTGCCATCCCTGCCCTGGGCCAGGCTGCCAACTCACGGGGCACTAAAGGCAACTGGGAGTGCAGTGACTGCCCTGCTTCCAGCTGCGCCAGCCCCAGATGCTCTGAGGAAAGGCTGGGTGTGCCAGGGACTTCCCTCCTGCCACAGAAGGCCCTGGCAGGGCAACACAGAGACCCAGGGTGGCCCCAAACCAACAGGAGGGAAGAGGAGGCAGGGGCAGTAAGTCATGGTGCTTCCCTTGGGGCAAAGTCTGCTGTCTGCCCATGTGGCCTGTGCCTCCTGTGGCTGTGCCAGACAGGAGAGGAGGAACAGGACACGAACCCAGCCAAGCATCTAAAGGAGGAGCACTGCTGGCAGGGAGAGGGGGTGAACGACGATATCCCACAGGAATCACAGGTAGGAGCCTGTGGAGAGAGCACTGGCACCACTCTTGTGCACAAGGGTGACCTGGGGCGTCAGCCTTGTGCACCCCAATAGGGCTGTTCCCGGGAGCCCATCCCGGGCAGGGAATGTGGTGGATGAGGGGTGATGGAGGGGGGACACAAAGAGCCAGGCTTCAAGTCCCAAATACCCACTGTCCTCCTAAACAGAGTCCCAGCCCAGCCTGGGGCAGAGCTCTGCTGTCTCCATCTCCTCCGGGGACCAGGTTGACATCTAGGAGGGTTGGGGCAGACTCACAGCTCTGCCAGTTGCCATCATCCTCTTGTCATCCTGCCTGAGCTGGCGTGGGCTAAGGCACACCGAGCACTACACAGCTGTCTCTTGATCCTCCCTCTGGATCATCTGGTAGTGCTGTCGGTTCTCGAGGTAGGCAGCTAAGTCGGGGTCGTTGGCCTTCTCAGCCCGGTGCTTGGGGGTGTCTCCCTGCATAGGGAAGGCAGAAGACATCAGAGCGCTGAGCACTGCCTAAACCCCCCTCAGCATCCAAAGGTGCCCCCATTCCCCACCAAAAAGGTGGCCAGGACAGAGACCATCCCCAACCATCACCAGCTGCCTGAGAGGAGACAAAGGTTGGTCGCCCTGACTTGCTCTTCCCCAGTGCTGGGAAGGTAGGTGGGAGAGGGTGAGGAATGAGGGGTATGTCTGGAGAATGCCCAGGAACACCAACCCCCCTTCCCTCTCGCAGCCTGGCCAGCGCTCCGGCTCCCGGAGGAGGATCGCATTTCACCAGCTTATTGCAGCCATCTGGACTGTGTCCACTAATGAACTCCCGCACTCCATAAAAAGCAAATCTGTTAACAGCTCCCAGCTCTGTCTCCTCTCCCCCTTTGCCTCCCCCTGCTCCTCTTGCTCCTCCTCGCCAAGCACCCAGGCTCTGCTGTGCCGCTGAGAAAGGCCACGGAACTCTGGCGCTCAGCCACCGCCACTGAAAACTGGCCCTGGAAGGGATTCCTGGCCTGCCCGCATTGTCCCCAGTGTGCAGCAGGGCACGGGTGGCTGCGGAGGGGTCCCTGGAAGGGATGCCTGGCCTGCCCGCATTGTCCCCTGGTGCGCAGCAGGGCACAGGTGGCTGTGGCAGGGTCCAGGTCCTCCAGGGTGACCTGCAGCTGTGTTTCTCCGGCAGGAACAACGGTCAGACACATGGAGTCTCCACTGGGCCTGCATGCGGCTGTGGACAAAAGCCCACTCATGCACAGCTATGGAAAAGTGCGACACACCATGAAACTCCCTCTTTTGCACATGCACCCTGAGATCTGGGCACACCCCATGGTCCCCTACACATGCGGGCAGGGGTATGGAGCCCGCTCCATGGTTCGGTGCCAGCTCTCCTCAGGGGCCTCCTCTCTGCAGCCCCTGAACGCAAGCACTCATTTAACAAAGACTGGGGGGAAAAGACCAGAGGAGGAATTGAGTTTCTTAGTTTCTTTCCTGACCGCAGCCTGAAACTGGAGCTGGCAGGGCCCCTCCGCCCGGCCGGGCTGAGGCATGCCGGCCGATAAGGCTCAGCCTCCCTCCCCGCTGCAGGGTGCGGGAACAGCCCCTCTCCGAACCTGTGCCACAGGTCTGGCGCTGGGGCTTCTAACGAGGTGGGTTCATGCCTGTGCAGGTGGGCTGTGACCAAGGGCCCAGGCAAGGTCAGTGCAAAGGGGTCCCCAGACAGCTACAAACCCAGACGCGTGTTTGCACAGGCATGTGCAAGCCCTGTTCCCCTGGGGCAGCCGTCATGCCTGAGCAGGGCTGTCCTTTGTGCTGGCAGGTTGGGGGTTGCTCCCCTCCTTCAGGCAGGTGAGGGGGCTGGGGGCACAGAGGGATCATGTCCCCAGAGCTGCCATCTCCCCTTGCCTCTGCTGGCTGAGTCTCCAGCCAGGCCAGCCCCACTCCAGGCGCTGTGCAAAGCCCAAGCCTTGGCCAGGACCAAGGAGGAGCAATAGGGAGCCAGAGATTGTCTGTACAGCATCTCCCTGGCAGCTGGCAATGGGGCTGCACATTGTCTGAGGCAGCCCTCAAGCTCCACTGGCCCCCACAAGTTTGCACGCCCCTGGATGGGCTCCTGCCCTGCGTCCCAGACCCACAGATTGCACCTTCTCAGCTTGTTACTGCAGCCCATCGCTACAAGCCTCCACCAGACAGATGTGACCACATCCCCTCTGCCACCCACCAGCCCCAGGAACCTCCTCTACCAAAACACAGCCTCAAGCCCCCTTCTCACCACTCCTCTGCCGGGGCTGGCACAACTCCCCGGCACTGATGCATGTCTCAATTAACTAGGAATGAGAGAGAAAGGGCTGCCACTGCCCTCTCCTGCTCCCCGTGGGACAGCTTCACCCCCTGAGAGGAGCTCCCAGTGCCCCCATCACAGCTGCCTATGGGGGAGAGCGGGGGGAGCCCTGCAGCTGGGAGGGAGCTCTCAGCGAGAATGTCCTTGCTCTGACCCCAGAGGGTGGGGAGGGGGAGACAGGGATGAGACATTCCAGCCCCTGGCTTCTAATTGAATAAAACAACAGGGAGAGAAGTGCAGGGAGGAGAGGGATTTAACCCCTCTGCAGCTGGGCTCTGCTGGGTAAGCGTAGGTGCTTCTTGTCAGCTCCTCTCTAGCTTGCAAAGACCCCAGCCAAAGCACCCTTGTTTTGCTCTCCTGCTGCCCCGCTCCTGCCAGCCCCTCAGTCCCCCAGAAAGCCCCACTGCCAGCCCTCCTGCCATCACCTGCAGGTCCGTCTTCATGAGCGAAGCCCCGGCCTCCACGATGTAGTGGCAGATAGTGCGCTGGCGTAAGGCTGCAGCCTGGTGCAAGCTGGTTTCGCCACTGGGGAGGAGAAAGCGGGAGACATGAGATGTCCCCCCCTGAATGGGGACAAGCAGCATGTGCGGGTGGCAGTGAGGGACAGCAATTCGGCTGCAGCAGGAGCTCGCGGTGGGTTGTGTGCTTGTTCAGGCAGCCCTGGCAGAGGAGAGGGTGCTGTTCGGGGACGGTCAGTCCAGAGTAGACTGGGAACCATGGCTGGTAATTAGAGTGAGGGCAGCTGGCAAGTGCCCAGACAACTGGTCACCTCGCAGAGGGTCTGGCCAACAGGTAACGCAAGTCAGTCAGCAACTTACTTCTCCTCCTCCGTGGCATCAAGGATTTCTGATGGGGCTGTGGAGAGAAAAACAGTGCAGGGCGAGTGAGACCCAGTTGTGGGGCAGAGACAGACCCATCTCCTCCCCAGTCGCATTCTGCATCTTTCCATAGGGGCTGCTATTTCTTTCCATGCTGCCTGCAAAGGTCCTGGCTTCAAAGCACTCAGGCCAGCAATGGTATCTAAGCCCAGTCGACCAGGGAAGAAGAGTTGTTGTGGACTCATTACTGAGAAATATCTAAAGAAAAATAAATCAGCCTGTATTTCAGTGGGAGCTGCCAAAAACAACAGGTCAGCTGCCCTGAAGGCAGAAGCAGAACAGAGAAATGTTTCCCAGAGACATGCTTGTCCCTGCAAGAATGGGACCATGCCACATAACAGCCATGGGGACACCCCAACACTGGCAGACAGATGCCAGGGAAAGCCCATAAACGAGAAGGAGGATGTAGCAAACCCAGAGGGGAGGGATCTGCACCCAGAAACACCCCCTCCAAGCAGAGGGTTGGTCTTTTTCAGCTGCCAGGCTCCTTTGCTAAGGGTGGCACTCTGGCCCCAGCTCACCGTTCTCGATGATGTATTTGACGATGTCCTTGCTCCCTGATTTGACAGCATGGTGGAGGACGGTCTGGCCCGAGGAGTCTCGCACCATCAGGTCTCTTCCAGCCCGATGCAGCTCTTGGAACTACAGGATTGCCAGATTGCTTGGGATGAGTTGCCTTTCCCAGCTCCAAGCCCCAAGCCCCAGTATTGTGTCCCCAGGGTGTCTGGCAGGTTGTGTGGATGTTCGGGGCCTGGCAAGGAACTGTGTCCAGCTCAGCCACGCCACCAAGTCCCTTCCGACTGTGTCCCCCACGCGAGGAACAGGGCTTCTTTCCAGGAGCCTGCCTGCTTTCCAGACACTGCTCCTGGAGGAAGGCCCTCAACAGGAGCTGCTCCAGGGCAACCGTGGAGCACAGTTGGCAGGGCTTCCCACCGCCCGAGGGGCATGCCAGCCCAGCACCCAGAGCCAGCCCAGCACCTAGAGCCAGCCCAGCACCCAGAGCCAGCCCTGGCTGCACAACAGGCAGCGGGAGCACCTACCTTGCTGAAGTCACCACTCTTGGCAGCTTCTATCAGAAGGCCATCTGCGAAGAAGGGAGACAGGTCGGGGTCAGAAAAGCCAAGCTATAATGCTGTTTATCTAACTGGGGAGCTAAGGGTTGGGCACTGGAGGCTCAGCAGCCAGCTGGAGCTCCTGCAGGTGCTAGCCCCTTGGTGAGACTGGTTTTACACGGCTCCCCCACCTTCAGGCATACAAGGGACAAGCCAGGGGAAGGGGGGAGACCCCACATAGCTGGGGGCACAGCCAGACCTCAGCCCCAGGAATGTGTGCATGCAGGGGGAGCAGTCTCTGCCCATGGGGAGAATGACTTGCGATGGAAGCGGGGAGCAGATCTCCTGGGCGTCAGCCAGCGGCCGAGACGCCTCTCACCCATGACTCACTCACACTTCCAGGCACAGGGCTCCGCTCAAGCTCCAGGAAACTCTTTCCATTTGCTCAGCTCGGTGAGGCCCCTGACCTTGTTCTCCCCCCTCCTGAGCTCCCGCCATTGCCTGGCAGAGACAGCCCCCCAACCCAGCCCACAGCACTCAGCTCTGCAGGTGGGGGATTAACCCCTTGGCTACGCCATTTCCCACACGGCAGAGTCAGGAAGGCGCCTGGCTGAGCCGCTCCACAAATCACTGTCAGGTCTCTCCTGCTCACCTCTGGGGTCACCCGCCCGCAAGGCCCCATGCTCCCACCTAGCACACGGACAGCAGAGCTCCTGCATGCATGTCAAGGAAAGGACAGGCCAAAAAAAAATGTGGTGGGGACCCAAAACAATGTGACCTGTGAGGGGGTGCAACAGCAGGTGGGACAGGACTCACCTTTGTGCGGGAGGCAGTGTTCAGGCTCAGTGCTGGAAGGGAAGAAGAAAAGGTGTAACTAACCCTGACAGTCCTGGCAGCAGATCACCTGAAAGGGCACGCTGTGGGCAGAGGGACGGCTGTGGAGAAGCCTGCCCGTGGCACTTCTCCAGCTGGCAGGAGCAGAGGCAGGCCAAGGGACTTTGCTGCTCGGTTCTTCCCCATCCCCACTCCCATTTACCCCGCTCCTCCCAGCTCCACTGCTTACCCATACACAAGGCTGGCCTCAGTTGGGTCAAGACACCCATACCCTTTGCCCCAAGGGCCAGGTGCTGGAGCTTGACCCTGTGGCTGAGCCACCTGGCCATGCCCCACTGCTCCCAGCAGCACTGGCAGAGGAGCAGGGAAGACAGGACGGCATCTCACTCCTTGGTCTAACTCAGCACTGAACTCCTGCTCACTTCCAGGGAGCCCCCTTATAATCTGGCCCAGGGATCAATGCTGTGAAGACAACCCTGGCTCTCCCATCACTCCTCATCCTTCCTGAGGTCCAGCACCCCCATTCCAGACTCACCTGGGGGCAGGAGAGGAGGGTGGGGAGGACGAGGAGGAGGGGAATGCAAAATGGTGCCCAGTGGGTGCGGCAGATGAGTCAACGAGGTCAGGCATAGCAGGAGAGGTGCCCACAGTCTGGGTGATCACTAGCTCTGGGTCCAGCACATAGAGCTCATCCTGAGAGATCTCTGTCACATAGTTAAGGTGCTCCTGAAAGACACAAGTCAGCCCTCCTCAGAAGCAAGACCAACCTCTGCATAGCTCCATCCCCTCATATCCCACGCCTTGTAGCCCACCCACTCGCTCAGCAGAGCAACAGTGGCTCGAAGAGTCCTGGGACCTGCACCTGGGAAGCCTCCACAGCTCCTTGACCTTTTCAAGCTTCGTATCTCCTGCCAGCTTAGCAGATGACCCATACATCTCATCTCCACGTTCCCCTCTCCAGATCACTAGGGAAAGTATTTAATACTGCTACTCTGCTGTATGGCCCTGCAGGTAGCTTCCAACCAAGACTCTGTGCTCCCACCCACGCTTCCTCCCTTTTCTGCAGGAACCTGGAGGTGCTGCAGCTGGTTCCGGGCCAGGCTCCTCACACCACCCCTTGTGTGCCCACAGGGCAGGGCAGCAGTGTGACACCCACATGTCTCCAGGGCTAAGCCAGCCTGTTGCTCTGTGTGAATGTGGGGCACCCAAGGACCTTCCCAGCAGATGCTAGGAAGGATGACAGCAGAGGACAAGGCCACACTCACCTGTGCGCGGTCTATCCTGTAGAACCGATCAGCTGTGGTTGCTGTAAGACAGGGGCAGAGCAAGACAGGGTGATTCTCGGTGTGAGACAAGAGAGATGGCTGCTTTCCGCCATGGAGTGCGAGTAAAATAGCCAGCCACTTCGTGGCTTGCACAGAGGGCACAGCGAAGCCAACAGCCCTCCCAACCAGGAGCACCCCCTTCCCTTCAGGACCCTGCTGCTCTCTTTACTCGAGAGGCAGCCCCTTCTGGGCCAGACCACCATGCCCCTATGCAACATGCCTTTGGCTTGTGATCTCCTGCTCGATGACTCCCAGCAGGGAGCCACAGGGAAGGAAAGAACATGCTTAACTGATGGTGTGGCCCTTCTGGGGGTCTTTGGGTGCTCTGGTATTAGCCTGAGCAGATGAAGCTGAGGGCTGTGCAGTGCACATGGCAGCATTCGCTTGTCCTTGTGGGACAGCGCCGAGAAATGGGGGCACCACATGGGGCTGGGAGAAGGGGAAGCTCAGCCTCCCGCTGCCTTGACTGAGGGAGGTCCCACAGACCACCAGAAGGCCACGTCAGAGCTTGTGACTGCCAGGTACCACAGAACATGCCACCACCAGCTGTATATCTAAGCCCGTGTTTCCTAGGATGGCAGGAGAGCTTCAAACCAGCCTCTAGCCTGCTGCTGGCAGCAGCCTGTCCAAGTGCATCCCTCTGATCGTCCCTCTTCCTTAGAGGAGAGATCCCCCATGGCAGGAGAGGAGCTCCAAGACCAATGGAGCAAGTAGCTGTGCAGGGAGGGGCTGGGGACTTCAGGCATCACCAGAGGAGAGCAAGACAAGCAAGGGCACAGCACCAGGACAACCGGGTCCCCACGCAGGGTGGCATTTCCCCTGTGTCCCACCAGGGTGCCTCCTCAGGAGAGGTTGCTGTGGTGGGACCCTCGGGGACCCAGGCAATTCCCTCCACAAACAGAGCGGGGACGGGCCAGAGCAGATGAGAGAAGTGAAAGAGCTCTGTTTATCCTGTCCTGGCTAGAGATTTACAGAGCTGCTGATGAAGGTTTGTAATTCAGCTGCTTGAATGAGCCTGCGCTGTCTTGAGTGAGGCTCTGGCCTCTTTCCTGACACATTTTCCCAAGCCCACAACCTGCTGCTGGGAGACTCTCAGGAGGAGGGAAAGGGGTCCTGGAACAGCAGTCCTGGTGGTGACACCTGGGAGCAGCAGCACCAGCAGCCCCACATGCAGGGCTGGAGCCTGAAGGGAGAAGCTGCATCCTTTCTGCCTAGCACAAGGATTCCCAAGCCCACTTTGCAACCCACGGCTAAGCCTGGTGTCCCTTTCAGGGTGACGGGAACACACAAGTGGGCCTGCGACCTGGGATCTCAGGGAAAATGCAGCATCTCTGCTGAGGCAAGGAGAAAGGACAACTTTCCCAGCTGAGCTGGCAGGAACTCTGAATCAAAGGCCTTGAGCTGGTCAGCAGTGGCCATCAAGCTCTGGGGACGGGTTTGCTCTGGAGCCTCTTGGCCAGTGAATGCAGAAGGAGAGGAGAAACCTTTCAGGAAGGGGGTGAGAAGCAGCTGGAGCCCAGCACAGAGCCTGCTCCCCATACCACAGGGATGCTAGCGTGCTGTAGCTGGGGACCCTCTGCCTGCCTGACACAGGAGAGCAACTCCAGCAGTCCCCCAGTGATGGGACACATGCCACCAAGCTGCCTTCAGCTCCAGGGGCAGGAGACCAGCAGATGTGCCTCGCTCCACTTGTGGTCAGCAGCCAGAGATACAGCCTGGGGCAAAAAACTGCTGCACTTGGCTGCAAAGACCCCAACAGCCATGAATTTCAAGTCCCACGTGGCTCTCTGTGACTTGTCACTAAGGATCTCTTCCGTCACCCCCCAAATTCAGATGTGGTCAGGACTCCAAAGGGAGGACAACACTCACAGTCCAGGAAGCACCACTTGGGCGACAGCTTCTGGGATGACAGTGTCTTCGGTTTGGCTCCATCTCCCTCCTGCATAAAAAAGAGGGGATAAAGTTGTGTCTCTTGTCCTCCTCATCTCTCCCCAGAGTGTCCCTCCTGCTTTGGGAGGTCCCTACAGACGTGGAGGACCGCAAGCGCTTGGACAAGAAGGGGAACTTTGAACACAGGCACGGCACACAACGATGTGGAGCAGCACGGGACAGACCGGAGCTGACACACACCAGCTCACTGGAGAGAGAAGTGCTACAAGATGAGCCCACGAGACCGGCACGGTGCACACGATAGATGGGCCAGGGGACAGAGCAAGGCCATACACACCTGTAAGAGCAGGCGCTCTAAAGCAGAGGGCTGTGGAGGGAAGTCCTGCAGAAAGGCAAGGTGTGCTGTTACAGCCTTTGTCTGGGCAGCCCCCCAGCCCCTCTCTTGTTCCATTGGAGTTGCTTTACGTGCTGCCATAGCTGGCTTCACGCACTGTCTGGCCAAGGTCCCTGGTCCCTGCCCTGCTCTGGGGCCAGAGCACAGTGTTTGCCAAAGGAGACAGAAGAGGAAAACACGAGGTGACCAAGGAACACAAGCCTCAATGCACAGCTGCAGAGGTGCAGGAGGTTGCAGAGGTGTCAGTATATCAGGCTATAGGAAAGCTCCTCTGAGCCCAGGAGCTCCTAGCCACGTGCCTGCCTGTGTCCCCACGAGTGCCTGGGCAGCAGGTGGGCAGGGGACAAGAATACAGAGCACACAAAGCAAGGGGCAGGTGCCAGTGTGCCAGCCCGGGCAAGCAGCTCTGCCACTCAGCCCTGCAGGACACTACACACACGCTGGATAGGATTCCCTCCGGCACAAGAGCCAGCTAACTGGGGACTGAGCAAGGAGCCTTCAGTCTTCTGGGACAGAACAGATTGTGCAGTGTGACACCAGGAGCCATGCTGTGGGCTCAGAAGGCACTGCTCACCAGGAGCGAGGGTTATACAGCCCGGGTCCGGGTCGTGGACACACATTAGCATGTTGGCAGGAGCACAGAAGTCAGTACTTGCAAATGAACAGTTGGAGTGGGGAGCAACTCTAATCCAGGCACCTGGAGCGGTGCAGAGCTGTGCTAGGAAACCCAGAGCCTGCAGAGGGCTGAAGGAACACAGCACAGCAAACAAAGGGACAGAGGAAAGGCCTCCCCAAACACCCAGGGGCTGATAGGCCCCCATAGGACATATGCTGGCTTTTTGCACTGCCCCAGAATTTTTCTGGACCACTGACACCCTGGGCCTGGAGAACAAGATCAGAAAAGTAACACTGAGAAAGAAGCTGCCAGAAGGCAGGGAGCAACAAGCCATCCAGCTTGGGATCCTGCCTTGACCATGTGGTACAGGCAAACTGTGACCTGCTACCAGAAGCAGGAGCATGTGTGTTGGTGCGTGCAGGTCAAGGAGGCTTAGAAATCCCTTCCCTGAGTCCCTCCATCCTCAGCATTCAGCCGTGACCACTTCCCATGCAAAGGCTCACCTCCTGCAGCCTCTCGATTTGGGTCCGGCACAACTCCAGGTCGCTGTCTCCTGGAACCACAATGATCCCCAGCGGCACAGCTGCACAACAGGGCACAGACACAACTCAGGGAGCAGCCTGTGCCCCATCCCCAACACCTCACACAGCTAAGCTGAGGGCACTGCTGGACTCAGGGACCACAGCTCCCACCCCCTGGTCACTCAGCCGGTCACTCACAGGCTTCCTTGAGCTTTTCCTTGTCATAGTGCAGTGCCTCGTAATCGCGCATGCTGATTCGGCTCACCCGGATCCGCAGCCGCTCGGGCACTGGCTGCTGGCTGTGTGCAGGGGGGAAGAAAAAGGGAAGGGATCAGAAGGTGACAGCTCACTTTCTTCTTATCCCACTCACCCCTCCAAAACAGGCAAGAGCACAGGCTGGGGTGGGGAGCTTGGCACCAGCAGCTTCTCCAGCATCAGGGTCTGGCCATACTTGTGTGACCTGATCTCTTCCCAGGTCCTTCTTGCAAGAGGATCAAAATGCCTCTGGGAGTGATGGATCAGTCCCATCCCTTCCCCTTCCATCCCTTCTGCTTTGGACAGGAGGTGGAAGATTGATCCGATGAACGTACTCATTGAGCAGAGGCATGGAGTTGCGCCGCTTGGTCTTCTGCACCATGTTAGCTTGGTTGCGCAGGGAGATGTGGATGCAGGAAGCCGCCAGCTTGCAGGGTTCTCCATCTACCTGCATGGGGATGGCCTTGGACGTGGTGAGAACCACCTGCCGGCACTGGCACAGCCGCTCCCCGTGGCCACCGACCTGCAAGGCAGCCTGTGAAAGGGCACAGAGTGAGAGCAGAGCACAGACTGAAGGTTGGATAGGGGGAGTACCCATTGTCAGCCAGGTGCCACAAGTGAACCAAGTTCTGTAAGGGATCCACAGAGACCAGGGCATGGCAGCACCTCTCCTAAATCTCCAAGAGCAAACACTGTCACACAGGCCAGCACTACAGCTCCTCAGAAGAGAAGCTGGGAAGATGGGGGGCTGGCTGACACATGGTCAATGGGATCAGTCACTCCCCTCATTGCTAGCTACAACCGGCAACAGCACCGACTCACCAGGGATGTCATGGTGAAGCCAATCACTTCAATGCAGCCGTCATCGTGGCGCTGTGGCTCGAAGTCATGGTGCTCCCCAGGGTTGCCCCAGGGCATGGTGCCTGCACAGTATCTGTGAAGGGATGGTAAGCAACACACGGACAGGCCCTGCAAACCCAGGCAGGGATCTGTGGCTTGGGGGTGAGGAGCCCGGCACATGAGGAAAAGTCCTGGGGCTGCCTACCTGGGGATGTTCAGGAAGACCAGGCACTGGGGCTTCAGGTCCTGGATCTTGGAGGTCAGGTCTGTCCCATCGCACTGGAGACAACACAGGGGTGTTCAGGTTGCTGTAAGGGAGAACCGGCCCACCCTACCCACCTAGGAGAAAATTACCTCCCGCTCTGCTCCCCACAGTGACTGTCCTCCCAGCCAGGGGAAGCCAATGTCCCCAGGAACACATCCTCTCCCCAATCCTGAGACACCCAGTGTGCCAAGGGACTGCTCCTCGCCCCTCGGCAGCTCAGCACTCTCCCTGGCCCAGAGCACCCCTTCACACTCACAACCAACTTGACGTGCTTCGCTAAGTCTTTGGAGCTCCCTGTGAGGAAGTCGGAGAAAGCCGTCTGTCAAGGCAAGAGACAGCATTAGCACCCACACGTTCACTGAAATGGGCAGCGAGGAAGCCTGACACAGACCTTCAGACCTCAGCTGCCGAAAGCAACAAATTCCTTCCTCGTCTGTTGGCAGAAGCCCTCTCTTCTCCCCTCCCAAAATAACCTGATCCATTCCTCTGTCCATTTTTGCTTACCAAAAACCTTGGGGCACCTTCAGTAACACCTCCTAATATTATTTTGCCAGCCCAGTCCCAGCTTTAGGGAAGAGCTGGCAAGGTGGCTATCCTCCTGTGAGAGACTCGAGTCACAAGAGACAAACTCAGTGTCAAGGAGCATTGAAGTACCATAAAACAGAGCTGACGTCATGCCATCTAGAGAAACCAGGAGAGACCCACACACCCTAGGGTGTTAGTTAACCTTTGGGTTTAACAGTACAGAGAGGAGAGGAGACACAAACAGGAGAGATGTGACATGATACAGAGCAGCACTTGGCCTTCAGTACTGCTCAAATACTGGTCACCCAGCCACCTGGGTAGGGAGGTATATTGAGGATGGTGGGGATGGACGAACAAAGACAACACCGAGATACAAAGCTCTGGAGGTGACTTACAGGAGGGTGCCATAATTAGCCAGGGAGCTTGCCCAAGATACAAAAGACCAAAGCAGTCTGGGGACTCTATGGAAAGGCTTCCCATTCCTCTGCAGGGGGGACAGTCTGCCTCCCCACAGCTCTGGGGAGGTCCTGCCTGGGTGACCATCCGTGAGTCAGAGAACAAGAACAATAGTGGCAGGAAATCAAGACAGCAACTGTACCGCAGGCCAGTGAGCAAGCTGTACTGACAGCAGCACTAGCAGCCAAAGAGGAGTTGCAACTCCCAGGACCGCAGCCTTTCTCCAGCACCTCTCCTGCTTTGGGGGGGGCTCAGCTTGGGTGCATGTGAAGGCCCGTGTAACTCAGATGAGTGAGTTGAGGGTGTGGACAGGAGCCAGGGCCATGCCTGTGCTCCAGCTGACACTAAGGCTGCTATGAAGGCATGTCCAGATACCCTCCATGCACTCACCCCAGCATAGAACATTTTATTCCGAAACCGGCTGTTGAACTTCTCTGGGTTGGCCTCTACAGAAAGAAGAAAAAAGTCCAGGTCATCAGCCTGCATGCGGAAATACTTCACTTGCCTGCTCTCCCCAGACATGGCTCTCCAGACAGACTTGGCCAGGAGGCAGCCCCCAGCTCTCTTCCCTTGCAGGCACCCGCCCCTCTTCCCCCTCTGCAGTCTCCACCTGCTCTTCAGGTTTAACCTCCAGCCCTGTCCCTGGGGCAATCTTCTTATTTGCTTTCCCAAGAAGCATTTTATGGGCTCACCTTCGGTGTACCCTCTCACCCCTGACCCTGCCACTCCCCTGTACCTCGGGATTCGTGGAACTCCAGAGTCACCCGCGCATCAAAGCCAAGGCTGAAATAGTTATTAAAGACATCCAAGGGGAGCTGAAATGGAAAGGAGGAACAAAGATGAGGCTGCCAGTGTGTGGCCATGGCAAAGATGAGGTCAGGCTACAGCAGAGCCATGCACCATGCTCACAAGGCTGAGGCAGTGGAGGCTTGCCTTCCCCCCAGGAAAACACAGAGGTCACCAGGGATGATGGACTGGCCCCTCGCTCCCAGGGGTAAGCAACATAGCCCAGGGGGACACACTCTGCTCTCCAAGATACCTGCAATCACCCATTGCAGTCTCAGTCTCAGAAAGGACTGGCTTTATGCCTGTTGCTGGCTGTGGTTAAAACCCTCTGGTGGACATTCAGTTCTGATCTCTACACACCTCGCCATGAGTGCCATGGGTCAGAGCCACGAGGAGAGGGGTGGAACTGGAGCAGGGGAATGCCAGCCCAACACTGTAGCCCCAGGTGCTGGGGCTGCCTCAGCCAGTGGGAGAAGGTGAACCCCCAGTGCAGGGAACAAATGCGGAGAGATGTCCCACCTTGTCAGTGGCCACCTCATCCTTTTCCTCAGGATTCGCATCAGGGTTTGGCTCCACATGGAGATTCCAGCGATCGAGCTGCACAATGTTCCCATCTTCCACGTGCGACAGGATCTTGGAGAGAGGCTCATCTGTGTAACCCTGGTGAAGAGCAAGACTCAGTGAGTCTCCTACCTGCCTGCTGTAGAGATGTCTTCCTCTTTGGGAAGACATCCCAGAACAAAGGATGAGGAAAAAGTCAATTCTACTTGAATGGTCAACAAAGTGGGACTTCAAATTTAAAAACAACACATCTTCCTTCTAAAAATCTCCCAAAGTTTGAAATAATTATTGCTTTTGTCAATGTCCTAATATATTATCACCTTATGCAGAATAATTCAAATGTCAGAAGAACAGTGACATCCAAACTGCACTTATTTGTTGGTCTGTAGTTAGGGAAAGTCAAAACAGCCAGCCAGTGCAAATGCCTACCCGTGTGTCTGGAACCAGAGTTGAAGCACTCAACCCCCTCTGTCAGCAGTGAGCTCTTCTGCCTGTCACTTACCCCACCCCAGTTCAGCGTCCTGGCCAAGTCGTTCCCTGTCCCCAAAGGTAGGATGGCCACAGGAGGAGGTGGATTGAGGCGTAACTCGTCCAGAATGGAGAGTATCCAGCCCACCTGCTCGAGCAAGAGAACACAAAGAAGCAGTTGGTTATTTCAGGGACCAGCAGGCAGGTCGAGGTGCTGTGGGAGATACCAGTAACCCCAGTGAGGACACTGGCCCCCAAAAGGGCTACAAATCCAGACATGCCACAGACTAGCACTCCCTGGAACAGTGCACGAAGGGATCCACAGTATCTGGTGCCACCAGCTGGACCACGGACACAGTGCACACATTTTGCCCTGGTCTGGATTTTACAGTGAGGAGGGCTGCTGCTGGCACTGGAAAAGCTTGGAGCGAAGGGTACCACAGGCACGAAGGGGTCGGGGGACTCACCGTGCCATCTCCCCCGCACGCCAGGATCCGGAGGTTGTGGACTTTGCGGTACAGCTCCAGCCTGCAGAGAGCAGAGAGGGTAAGGAGGGGGGAGAAGAAACACCGAAGGTGTTACACAGCGGCTGCAGGGCTCCCTGCCCTCACAGAGCCCATGGCATGCACAGAGCCACGTGTGTGTCTCCCTCCCCATCACCACAGCAGTTCAGAGCCGTGGGCAAAGCCACGGTAACTTTGGCTTCACCGGCTCTTGTGGAGGAAGAGCAGGACATCCACAGTCCCTGTACACGTAGATAAGCTGAAACGCAGCAGGCAGACAAGACCCAAATGACATTAATGGAACATAATGAACTAGAGTTGGGAATGTCACCCTAAAGGTTAGACCAGCCCTCCAGCAGGAAATGCTGCAAGGCCAGGACTGGCCGCGAGGTATCCCAGGGAGGCCTCTCAAAGCATGAACTCATTGGAGGTCTCTTTGCACAAGGGTGACCTCCATCAGCCACAGGAAGAGCTCTGGGGAGGAATCTCTAGGGCAGGAATGGGGGAGGGAGGGTGCTACCCCCCATCAGTACTCACGCCTCCTTGGGTCCACCCTGGCTGAGGTCAAAAACTTGCCGTGGGTTGAGATACCACATGAAGGACTGGATGATCTTGGCTCCCTGCGAGGACAAGAAAGAATTCATCAGGGAACAGTGATTCCCAGTGGACAGAAGGAAGAAGGCACCTGGTCTCAAGGATGAGCCAAGACAATGGTGCTCTGGGGGGACTCAGGCAAAGCCTAGCCTGGGTGGGAATTGCTGGGCAGCAAACTAGCATTGTGGAGGTTGTCTTATCTCTTCTGCTGCTGAGACACTACCAAAACCATGCTGAGTCCTCAGCAGCCAAAAGACAATGCTCCCACAGAGCGGTCTTCTCAGGGAGATGTAGGACAAGGCCATACCTGATTCCCACCACTCTTGGGGTTCACAAACACCAGCAAGGGCTTCATAAGAGGAGCTGGCATGGGCTTGATGACAAAGGGTTTCCACCTCCCCTCCTGCAAGAGACACCGCAGGTCCTTCAATAAGCCTGGGAAAACGCAAACTCCCAACTCCAGCTGAGCCCTAGCATCACACGTAGTCAAGAGTGGGAGGAAGAGAACATTCCAGCCATCCCGTAAGTCTTATAGGTGGGATTTATACTGCCAGCAGGCACCCTCCCTCCACCTCACTGTCCTTAACCTTAGCACAGACCCCGCAAAGGCCCCTTGTTTCCCAGTTCTGCTCCTCATTGCCCAGTCCCTCCACCCTTCCAAGGTCATGCCCTGCCCCTTCATCTCTTACCTCAGCCCCCTTTTTGCTGGATTTACGCTTGAATGATGTCCTCTTCTTCTTCTTACTAGATTTCAGTGGATTCTAGAGAGCAAAGAAACAAACCCAAAAACTCCATGAGCAGCTGCTAGGCAAGCAGGTGTTGTGAAAGAGCCACAAGAGCCAAGGTGAGTTACCTGGGGCCGTCGGACCCGCAGAATCCAGGTGGGAGGAACGACGACAGCAGCATGAGCCCCCAGGGAGCAGGGCTCTTCGATGTGTTGCAGCATGAAACAAGACACTTTGCTGTGATACTGGGAAAGAAGAAAAGGAGAGACAGAGAGAATTCAGCAGCTTGGTTTCCCGGGGACAGCCACCTTCTCCCTCCTCCCAGGTCCCTCCCCCCCTCCAGTGCTGGGGGAAACTACGCAGGAATTTTGTAATGGGAAGGCAATGAGGAAGAAGTTTCTTGTAGGAGTTCCCAGCTGCCACAGTACAGCCTCTTCCAGTAAGAGGAGCTGTTAGGAGCAAGCTGCAGTCTGGGGAGTCCCAACAGAAAGCAGAGATCATTAGATGCAGAGTAGGCTGGTAAGACGTTCAACGGGGTCTTTGCTCACCGCTTGCTTGCACCAGGAACAGCTGATGGCTACAATCTCTTTACTGTGGAAGGCAAATTTCTGCTGGAAACCCTGTGGAGGGAAGGAAAAGAGGCTTAGGGAATTCCCTCACAGCTTTCTACCATCCGACAGGACTTTCCCACCACCAGAAGAGACACTAACAAAGAGAGCGTGCCTGCAGTGAGAGCCCTCTGGATCCCCTCAGATAGCCCCAATGACCACTACAGCACCAGGGAGGCCACCGCACTCCGCAAGGGTGTCCCTGCTGCCCGAGGAAAGAGCGTCAGGAAGACAATCCACTCCAGGATTGATTTGGCCCAGGGGGAGAACAACTTGTATCTGGGAAGCACTTCTGTAGTGCTTCACTGTGCAAAGCAGGGCACGCATCTTTGTGTCGCTGTAGGCTGCTGCTGCCAAACAAGAATGGTGGGATGTCTCTGCTCCCCAGCCCTGTTCTTGTCTCTGGTTTGACCTTAGATTTCCTTCAGGCTAAAAAAAAAAAAAAGAAAAAAAGAAAAAAAAAAGATGCCCTCTTACCTTGCCACACTGCCGGCATTTGCCTTCCTGCCGCCTCCGATGTACCCAGTGATGCCGGACAACTATGGGCTAAAGGGAAAAGGAAAAAAAAAAAAGAAAAAGAAAGTGAAGGGGCCAATGTGTGAGAGAAGGCAGGAACAGGCAACAGGAACAAACCTAGGCCAGCCAGGACCTCTGCTCCTGCAGCACTCCTGCTGCTCACACGTGCCAGCCCCAGCCCTCTGGGAGAAAGCAAAACAAGTGAAGGACAAATAAAGGATCTGGACTAAGAGTGGCATTGGGAGGAGGGACACATGGTAGGAGAAGCAAAGGAAGAAAAGAAAGAAAGGTTTTAAAGTGATGTTGAAAGCTCCACCTTTCCAGGTCACACTGGCCTTTCCGAGCAAGCAGCCCGGTGTTTGAGTACCTTTCGCCCACTGTGTCTGCTGTGCCAAGGCAAACACGGTGTGAGGGCAGCAGCTGTGTTACCATAATGTCCTATAACTGAGCCTTTGACACCCTATGGGCTACAATGGCTACACAGGCTTGGGGGTGAAGCATGAAGGCTGACAGTTGCTTCCAGCAGCACAGCTCAGCAGACAGGTCCCAGGCTACCACTTATGCCCAGTATGTTAAAACACGGGCTAAAGGGGTCTGACAGCACCACTGCGGGTATCTTCCACTGCTCTCTGGAGTACCTGTGGCACCCAGGTCAGGGCCGAGCGATAAAGCAAGAAGTGAGCCCGGCTTGTCCCCTTCCAAACTGGTGGAGACTTGGGGACCTGCCGTTTGCCGCAGCCTCCTCTAAAAACCCTCCCCAAAAACACTGTTTGAAGGATCCTCCCCATACAAATGCAGGAGGCTGAGAACAGGCAAACCAGCAGATGCTCTGCATTTGCTGCCTGCAAGCTCCTCTCTCTTTACACCCAGGCTGCGCTGCTGCCTTGCAAAAAAACATCCCTTGTACCGCGCCATTCCCTTGGAGCCCGGAGGCAGCATGGTGCCTGCACTCTGATGGGCAATGTGCTGGCAGCTTCTCATGCCTTTATCACCCAACTGGGAAAGCGAGTGGGAGGTCAGATGTGAGCAGGGTCGCAGGCACATCTCTCACCTCCCTTACGTTCCGGGATCCTGATTCCCTGAAGGAAGGTTTGCAGCGGAAATTTATCTGTAGATTGAACACACATGAGAGGAATCAGCAAAATGATCATAGCTGAAGGAAACCTACCGGACTTTATTCTACTACAGCAGGCCCAGAGCCTCCGGAGGTGTTTAGCGCTTGCCATGAAACCCCTCACATATCTCTGTTAATGAACAGAATGAGGTCTGGGGTCCCAATGTCACTAGATGCTGCTTTTGGTATTGTCTCCTCACAAGATCCCTCTTTGCAATGACACATTGCAGTTCCCCAATATTATTGTGTTTCACTACCCAAGAGGAAAGGCTGCCCAGGAAAGCCAGCTTTGTGAGCTGCAGAGAGGGCTTCACAGGCTCTACTCACTTTCTCCAGCTGTTCGATGCAGGGTGTATGCACTACGATCTTGCAGGCTGCACATTTACGCCTCGAGAGAGGTTTTTGCTGGAGGATGAGAAAAGGAGAAGAAAAACATGCATGTGAATAGCATTGTTCAGAGGCTGGCAAGCTGAGCCTCCCATCACACCTCCTTCATATGCTTCAGGATGCCAAACAAGTCCTGTAGGAAAGCTGGACACAACTTAGACTCCTTGCAAGGGAGCGGATCTAAGCATGCCCCTAGAGCAGATGCTCTCCAGTGTGGGACAGAGCAGGGAGGTGCTCTCCCTGTCCCGCAGCCTTTGCCCTCTTCTGACACTGTCCAAGAGCACCATGGAAGCTGGTTTGGGAGGCACCGGCAGGGCTCCCACGGTAAGCCCCACGGGCAGGCACAGGGTGGCATCAGTGCTCCATGTCCCACACCACAAGCAGGACAGAGCCTGCAAGCTGGGCTGGGAGGGAGGACTGCAGCAAGCCCCAGAGATCAGTGCTGCCTGCCTGCAGAGTCAGAAGGCAGCAGGCCTGGGTCTCCAGTGCTCAATTTCTCCTCTATTGAAAAGTCTTGGATTCAGATTGCCCCTCTAAGGGTGTGGGATCCTATCAGCCTTTCCCTGGAACCTCATCATATCACCTCTGGGTGAGCAGCAACCCTGCGCCAGGTTCCTACTGCAAACCGAGCACCAGCACTGGCAGAAATTGAGTACACAGAGGTAGGAGGGATACCCCCGCCTGGGCAGTCCCCCAGACCCTCTCATGTCCCCCAGCAGCAGCAGCAGGGCCTTCACGGTCCCCTCGCCGGGTGGCAGCACAGCCCGTACCTGTGGCCCTTGCCGAGGAGGCAGGTGACCCCAGATGACTCACCAGCAGCTTTGCCATACAGTTCTGCTCCCCAACGTAGCAGAAGTCCCCAGAGACATTGGTCTCAAACCAGATGTGCTCCCCGTAGACCGCAGTCTCCTGAAAGGCACAAAGACAACACGTTTCACTGAGAGCACCCCCAGACGGGCACCCAAGCCCCTAAAATGCTTTGGGAGAGGGAGAAGATACTGGACAACACCGGGGGGTGGGAGGTTGGAGCTAGGTGTGGGCCAGGAGGCAAGATGCACAGAACAACCAGGGTCAACATCTGGACAGCGGAAACCTCACAACGCTGCTGCCATGGCCCACCTCTTGGAAATGAGAGGGCCCCAGAAAACCACCTCCGAGATGTACAGCCCAGTGGCGATGTCCTGCACAGGGGAGCTGCTTCCACCACCCCCTGAGAGGAGGCATCAGGGCAAATTCAACGAAGGGGACTCTCCTGAAACAGCTTCTGTTGTATGACCTCAGAGTGCAGCTTAAAACCTGCTGGGCTTCGCCTGCAAAGGAGCTGGGGCTTGCTGTGTTGCCTGGCCCCAGCCCCCCAGAAGACCTTGGCTGGCAAGAGCAGAAGAGCTGGCGGTGCAGTAACTATGCCATCCTCCCAGGAACCACCCGTGTCTGCACAGCCTCTCCTCGCAGCATCAAGGGGTGCTGCCAGCAGCACAGATGCTGGCACCAGCTGGTGGCAATAGCGGAGGCCATAAATGCGTCAAAGCCAAAGTCACCTGGGAAGCCTCAGCCCGGGAAGAGCCTGCTGCTTCTTGGCCAGGAGCCCATTCCATGCAACGCCCAGCAAAACACGCTACAACTTACACTCCAGTCCACAGTGCTGCGTATCTGCCTCTCCGAGTCACTCCTCAGGGCTAGCACAGGGTTTGGCTGGGCTACCATGTGCTGGAGGCTGGACTTGGCAATAGCTTTCCTGGAAGACACAGGAGGGTTGGCTATTAGATCAGGGGAGGAGGAATACGTGCAAAGCATAACCTGCTTCTAGGATGAAGGTGGTTAGACCCAGGAACAGGTTGCCCAGAGAAGCTGTGGATGCCCCATCCCTGGAGGGGTTCAAGGCCAGGCTGGATGAGGCTTTGAGCAACCTGGGCTAGTGGCAGGTGTCCCTGCCCATGGCAGGGGGTTGTAACTTGATGATCTTTAAGGTCCTTTCCAAACCAAACCATTCTATGATTCTATGAATGGTGAGGCTGGAGCAGAAAAGCATCCTCAGGACAAAGTGGCTGAAAATGAGGCAAATCTCCAGCACCTCTGGCTGAGGAGTACCTGCTCCTGCGAGGCAGCCCCGTGGGATGAAGAGGTGCTGGCCACATTGCTGACGCCTCAGCTGAAGACACCCTGCACCCAGCAAAAGGCACAGCCTGGCCCTGCTGGGTCAAAGCCCTCGGGCATGACAGATCCATTGCAAAATAGCCTGGGACGTTCCACGGAGCTGTGGTGGTGGGGCTGCCTTTGTAAGGACAACCCAGAGCCTTTGCCCTGGAGAGGCTCCAGGCCACAGCAGCTCAGGGGCATTTTCAGGGACCACCACAACTGGCCAGAAAAAGAGCAGCTGTTTGTCTGGGGCTAGCAAGCTTCTTCCTGATGTACTAGGGTGGAGGAAAGGAGAAGCAGAGCCAGCCAGCTGGAGAAATTGTGCATCTCCAGCCCACAACCAGACCTGCCATCTCTCTGGCCCTGGGCTGGCAGGAGCCTGCAAGCCCTGGTGGCTGCACTAAGAGCATCAGAGGCAGCGCTGGCCCAAGTGGGAGATGCTCAAGGGACACAAGCAGCACTGCAAGACACCAATAGCAGCCAGGGCCAATGGTGCTG